GCGCTCTCTGAGCCAGGACAAATGGACTGTAGAGGTTAGTTTTGAAGAATAAGAATATAAGGAAATCCTAGGAGAGGTATTAAATTATACAGGTCCTTAAGATTGGACTAAACACATTATACCAACTTGATAAGCAACAGTGTTACATGGCAGCTGGGGTGGCTTAAATTAATATTGAATACCCACTGATTTTTTAATTAATTTGTTTACTTTCTTTATTTTGAACAACCACCTTTTAAGTGGGAGAAAAATTAGGCCACATAATCATTTTCAAGGGAAATTGTGAAATGCTTGTTATTGAGTTCATATCCATCATGGCTTGGAAGGAAGCTTTCTTTCTGTCCTGCTTTAGTGCTGGAGTAAGAACAGATGACCCACTAGCTCAGGGCTGGCTGAGTGGCTTTTTAAGCTATTCAAAGTAATGATATATGGACATTTAAAGGCAAAGATTAATAAATAATAAAAGGCCAACTTAATAAGCATGCTTGAAGAAGCCTGGCCAAAGTTTGGGTGAAGCTGTTGATGTTTACTGACTGGACCGGGTGTCTCACTGGAGCATTTTCCTAACTCCAGTTAACTTCCTAACTTTGTCCATTATTTAGCAGTTCTGGGAAGAGAGCAGGGCGGTGTGATGGGTCACAGTGCTTTCAAAGGGTGCTGTGTCTCCTAGGTGGACATGGTTGATTCAGCTGTTGGGTTTATAGTGACATGTCCTCTTGGGGATGGAGCAGGTGTGCTTTCACAGGTGATAGATAGCCAGCCAGGTCTCGGGGGCTTTCGCAGAAGTGCTTCAGTGAGTCTGCTGAGCTCTGAGAGTGAGAAGTGGGTACCAACAGTGGCTGCCCTGTCCTTGGGCCAGCCTGGGTTCCAGGGTTTGGCCTTCCTTGGCTGTGTCATTAGAACATTGTTTCTTTTGTGAATCCATATGTTTTGACCCTTCCTCACAGTTCCTCATGTTGTGGTGACCCCCCCCCACCATAAAATTACTTTCATTGCTGCTTCATAGTTGTAATTTTGCTACTGCTATGAATTGTGATGTAAATATTTTTTGGAGATAGAAGTTTGCTGGGCTAAGTGATTGTGTCACGAATGAAAAACTGACACAGGCTGGAAGGGGGGTACTCTATTGGATGTCTCCGTTCCTGAACAGAGGCCGCCTGAGTAAATTTCAGTAAACTGTCATTTAAGCTTGCTGAAATGCAAAAAGGCAAATCAGCTAACCAACTGAAAATACCCTGCCTTAAAAAAATAGCCCACACAATAGGTGATGCCACTGCTAAGTCACCCTGGGAATATTGACTGGGGAGGCCCCCGATCGATTTGACCCTCATGGGTTCTGCAGGCTGGGCCTTCTGCTCCAGCATTCTGACCTGACTTGAAACACCCCTCCTCTGGTTGCAGGTGGCCGGCCCTTCTATAGCAATTGAACTTGCTTCCCCATGCTGGCCCCAACCAGACAGCTCAGACTTCTCCCCGGCAGATTGTCCACGTGCTCTTAGCTCACATATGCTACCTGATTTGTGCTAGGCTTAATTTTTTTTTCTTTTTTTTTTTTCTTTTTGATGATCACCGCTAGCCTCAGGTGGGGCTGGCTTCTGAATCAACTTACCTTTGAAATTTGGAAACACTGCAACATTTGGCAGTTGTTTGTGTCAGCAAAACCAAAATTAATGGTTGCCTGCTATGTTAGGTCCACGCAAGTTTAATCTTACTTGATCCTGTCATTTCAAATATTTTAACGCAACTTGTTTTCTAACTAGGTACATGTGAAGATTTTTTGGCACTTGGGGTGTAGCCTCTGCTGGTCACACTGCTCTGATTTCTGCCTGTTCTGTGTTGGCAAAGGAACTCGC